GATTCAAGAGTAGTCTATTTTTTTGTCTTGTTTATGGCCTTTTTTTCTTTAGCTGTATAATATAGAGACACATTGCTAAATAATTTGTACATATTGCCTGCAATGTTAGGCGTTAATAAAATCTTACCTTTTATTCAAGAAAAATATGAGCATCATTTGCTTTTAAAAAGAGCCTCTTGAATTTTGCAGAAGCTCTTACTGGTACTTCTAGAAGAGACAAAAGTCCTAAAACAAAGGTTTAATTTATTCTTAAATGTAGGACTCTTTCCTTCTCTGTTCAAATTTCTTTTAGTACACAGCTATCCAAATTACCTCCTGAGACTATTTGTTTCTTCTCTACTCCATCAAAATTAAATCTTTTAAATTTACTGCCCCTTTAAAATGTAGTCCTTAATGAGGTTACACTGCTGAAGGAAACCTGTTTCCATATGTTAGATATGCAGCAAATTTGCAGTGCCTTACAGAGAAGGGCGTATATGTTACAACTTGAGGAAGTCCATCTTGAAAATAAAATGCTGCATCTCCTTTTGCAGAAAGCCACTTCAGCTGCCAACAGACAACTTTGTATTATAGCCTCAGAAAGCTGAGGCCCAGTGTTACTGATTTGCCTGCTTTCAAATCTGCTTCCAGTATTCATGCCTCTCCCACTGTTCTTGAATCTCATGGTTTGCTTTCTTCCTCAGCTTCATGTCTCACCATAAAGTCATCTAGAAGTATTTGGACAAAAAGCAGCTACTGGTTTTCCGTGTAGATATCATTGACTATGGCCAGGGAATATCAGCAATAATTCAGTAAGGAATAGCTAGGATAAACGACAAAAAAAATAGATCTGCAGGAAGAAGCCCTGAGATTGTACTTCAGCATATGAAGCTCCAGAGATGATCCAAGTATAAATCGTGACCTGAGTTTAGTAACTTCAAATGGCTGCACAAGTAAACAAAAGGAAGCTAGTTGTCTTTCAAAAGGGAGGAGAAGGGCACTCAGGTGAAGAAACAGAATTGTTTGTGTCTTTCAGATAACTGTTCATTATTATTTGGAAGTGGTCACCTCTGTTAAATATGTGTGCTTTAAAAAAATAAAAGGAATCTGGCTACGGAGCCTCGGCCTAGTCAGGCCACAAGGAGGGAATATAAGTAGTTTGCTCTGGAAATAACTCTTTGATTACTGATTAATAAGCCAGGTTGTGGAGGATGCTTAATGCAATGGAGATTGAAGGAGGAGATGTGTCCCTCGTAATGGAGCAGAGATGACCATCTCAACCCTTTGAGAAACATTGATGGTTTTTTACAGATTTGTATGAGATTAGGAAAGAAAACTGTTAAAATGAGCAAGATCACAGGGCAGGAAAAAAAGAGAGAAACTTGTTGTATTTACTGAGAAGAGCAAAGGGTAGGATTTGGGCTGCCTGAAAAGGGGGTATTGCTATATGGATCTGGTTAAGATTTTTTGGAAAATTTTAAATGGGAAATAGTTGACTTTGTAAAGGGAAACAATAAATAGAGCACTTAAAAGACTGTTATTCCTATAAATATTTTCAGCAAGGCTGCAAGAAATACTTCCCAAAAAAATAATGTTTATACTGAAAACAGTCTTTTATATTTTTTTCAGGACACAAAAGTAGCTGAAGTTGACCTGAAGGATTTAATGGATTAGATAGCTGACTTTCAGAATTACTAGTGATTGTGACATTCTTGGAGTTTCGTTTGACATACAGTTCAGAAACTGTCACTGGTTGTGAGATTTGTTACTTGGAGATGTAATTCTGCTTTTCTACCATTTGTATTATTTTTCTACTGATGTATTTGGGGGAGAGGGCATGCTGAGAAAATTATGTTTTCATTGGAAAAGAGTTAAGTTTATTATTATCTATTCTCTTGAAAAACTGAATTCCTGAAGTACATTGTATCTCTGGACAGTAGTTTATTGTCAGATTTTAAAATACTAAAGAAGTTGAGTTCTTCACTGGTTGAAGTATATACAGAATAGCCTGAATTAATTTTAACTCTTTATACTTTTATTTCTTGAAATCCTAGTTAGATTATTGAGTAACCTCCTTAAAATATAAATTAAAAACCCAAGCATAACACCTCTCCAGCAGTCCTATTCTTTTTAATGAAATTGTGTGAAAAGTGATACTTCTTTGGCAAAGGTTTACCTTGTGATGGCACAATAAACACTACCTAACACAATAGGAATCAACTGAAAATTGTTTTGTAGATTTATGCAAATATGAGATGTCTCTTCTCTGTTTCCTTTCATTTCACTGTTGAAAGCCACATAGTCTGTAATGCTCAGGGTTTGTTTTGGTTTGTTTTGGTTTGTTTTTTAATGGCACAGTCAGCAGTCATGTTCTTCAGGGATTCTTTCTGGGAGCAGTTCTGGTCAAGATATTCCTTCATGACCTGAAGAAGATACTGAACAGAAGTTCATGGGCAGTGCTAATGGGTAGCCAAATGCTATGCCAAGGAAAGGACTTCCAAAAGAACTCGTAAGACAGAGTGGACAGGCAAATAAGGGGTAGAAAAGCTTTAAATACTTTAAAAAAAAATCTGGGTAAAAGTATTCTAAACCTTCTTCACACAATGTAGGAAAGAAAGTCCGGGAGTCATCATTGGCAGTTCTCTGAAATCATTGGCTCAGCACAAGCAATTTCCAAAAAAGCTAATGATATCTCATCATCACCACATCACCAGCAAGGGTATTGTGAATAAGACAGATGATGTTTTGTCACCATACAAAACCTTAGTGTGCCCATTTTTTGAATATTGGGTAAAGTTTTAGAGTCTACATCTCCAAAATGAGCTAATGAATTAGATATGATACAAAGAAGAGTAATTCATGCAGCAGGGGATTGAGTAGCTGCCTTAAAAAGGCAAAAAATCAGAAGTCAGGGTTGCTTCAGTTTGAAGAGGAGAAGGCTGAGGCATATATTCAATCGAAGTTTACAAAATCAGAAAAACACTGAATAAGCTGGATGTGGAATTGTTCAGCAAGTTGTGCAATATAAGAAACAGGTAGTATTCAAAACCAGTAAACAAACATGGATGCATTAGTGGCTAAATTATTTCTTTACACATCAGGTTTAAGCCTCTGGAGCTTGCTGCTCCATGGGGTTATGAAGTGAGCAGTAGCAGCTGTTTCCAAAAGGGTTAGACACATTCCTGGGGAGTCTGGATACTTTACCAGGACTGGGCCAGGGATAAAACCTTCTGATATTCCCTACTGCAACAACTATGGATGCTGGAGAAGTAAGAGGGGAAGATACTGTAGGAAACAGTGGGCTCATGTGTTTGCCCCAAGTGCTACTCCTGGAAACAGAGCACAAGGCTGCATCACCTTTGATGTGATCCAGTATAGTGTTATTTCTTACATTCTTGTGTTTTAGTTGTTTAATGAATTTGTTTGAAAAGGACCTGCAGCAGGAAACTGATGGAGTTTGTCTGGGAGAATGGCTGCTCCTGATTGTGATCCATGGGTGTTTCTCAGTGAAAGGAAGAGCAGACTCAGTAATAAAATAAAGAAGACTTTATTCTACTGGTGTTATACATCATCACGTCTTCCAGTTTCATGTACATCATCATGTCTTCCAGTTTCTTTGTATCAAAGTTATCAAATCAATGTGATGGAATACTGTAGTTAAGTGAGTAACATTTTAGTAGATGCACCATGACCAACCAAAGGCAGCAATTACCTGCCCCACTTGCCAAGTAAAACACAGTAGCTTAAACCATGATTTAGCCTGACAAATGATTTGTGGTTTAAGCCTAGAACCTCCTGATTCGCACAGTCGGTTACTGCAATTTGGATGATGGATGCTGACTCATTAGCTGCTGGTACTGAATTTTGTTCCAACTGAAATCTCTACCCTTTGGTACACTTTTATGTATTTTGTCCCCATTTTATCAGGCTTTTTCTTCAGCATATTCAGCACTTTAGTCTTACTTAGGAAAGGACTGTGTGTTTGAAGATGAGAAATGAGTATAACTTGGTAGGACCCAGAATTGTGTATTCAACCCAACAAGTGCTGTTTAGATCACTTGGTGTTTTGGTAACTGATGTAATGTCAAATCCACTGATCCAGTTAAACGCACGTGCAGTCTTGGCTGCGAAAGCAACATCTGACAGAGCTGAATCAATGACTGCATAGCTTTTAAAAAGTTTTCTTGTCAACACAAGTGCAACAGAGCACCATCTCCTCTCTGTCCGTGACTAGAAGAAAGAAATGAGAAACCACTTTGAACCAGATGGTGATTCCTTCTAGATGAAATAGGAGTCTTGTGCTTAGTATTTTCCATGAAGTTCATTTTACTCCGGTATTTTGTTGCACTTTGTCTTGTGCACAGAAGATTGCAGGTCAAATAAGCATGAGGGAATTAATAAAAACCCTGAATCTGTGGGAAAGGCAGAAAGAAGGGTAAGAATCAACCTGAAATATTTCTAACCACTGAGCTGTAGTCTGGAGGTTGGATACTTTTACACATTGGTGACCAAAGTAGTCCAATGACTGCTAGTTAGGAAATTACTATATTTAAAATGTGACAACAAAAAGAATTGCAATTAATAATCCTAGTAATTCTTAATTGTTAACAAACACTTTTTAACTGCCTTCTGTCTGGGTTGTTATATCATGTTGCAGGCATGAAACTTGGAACATCTTTGAGACAGCATGCTCTTAAAGATTCAAACCTGTCAACAGAGGCTAATCAAGTATGCAAGCAAAGGAGTTTACATGTGTGTTCAACTCTGCTATTGCTAAAGCATTTTCTTTCTTGTTTAGGAGTGGATAGGATCAAGAACCTTGCTATACTATTTTACTGTAGAGCATTCAATCCTTGCAGTGTCCAAAACTTTCCATTAGCTTGTCACTTGACCTTACTGAAAAAGTAATATAGATAAATAAATAATTTTCCGATCTTTTATGCAATTTATTCTTATTGACTTTGAGAACATATGCATATAAAAGAAGAAGATTTAAATAGATTCTACCGTCATACTTTCAGGTTCCTGAGCATGCAGAACTTGCCTGGATTCTTGGGTGCATAACTAATGTGCCACGTCTGCTACGTTTGCCCCAGTGGAAGGTATGGACAGTTTGGTAAATTTAAAAGAAAATTATGGGAATTCAGTGGAAATATTGTCCTGGAAATACTTGTCATCTATGAAATATCAACTGTACCTTGGTTTTCAATTTAAGCAATTCTGTAGTCCTGTGGTGGAAGGGGGAAAACATCTCTCATATCACTCAACATATCATTCCATGTTCCTCTTAGTGAGCATTTAACTGCTGGAAGCTACAGAATTGTGGTTTTCGCAGAGACTTGCAGAAAAACGACTAAATAAGAGGTTTGTTTACTGTTGTTAAACTGATTTTGCTAGAACCTTCAGTGTTATTTCAATGCTTAATGATGCAAAGTAATGCAAGGTGTTGAAGTGGAAACCTTGGGCCTTGCTGATTAAGGAGTTCCATAAACAGCTTTTCTTTTTCTGCTACAAGGAGTGGCTGCTCTGTAGATTTTATGGAAGAGTATTCAAAAGAGGCATATGTTTGAAGAGGAGTATAGGAATTATAAATACTAAAAATGTGCTGAGTGATATTGTATCTTAAGTGTTTGCCTTTACAAGTTTCAAATGTTCGTCTTCTTAATCTTGATGTTGCATCAGCATGACTGCATCAACAAAGTTCTTCCGTTTAATTTCCTTGTATTTTATTTTGACATTTAGTTAACAGAAAAAGAAAAAGACAGGAGAGAGAAGTATCTGAAAAAGTAAAAAAAAAAAAAAAAAACCAACAGCTTAAGAACAGTTTGGTTTGCAGAGTTCAGGGCAATCTTAAATACCTCCAGATGTTTTCTTTTTTCCTGTTTTCCTTCTTAATTAAATAAAACCAGTAAAACTTAAATACAGCAACCAGTGTTAATGCATGGCCTAGATTAAAGCAAACCTTTTCAAACCTGAGGTTCTAAAGTTAAGCTCTTAAATCCTACTTTGACTGGATTGACTTTCCAGACCTACAGATAGTCGTTACAGGTGCTAGGCTTTGCAAATTAGGTTTCCTGAACTCTAGGCACTTAGAGATGTAGACAGAATACAGGATCTGTTGGACTGTGTGAGTGAAGTCTTAATATATTTGAACAGTCTTAATGAAATAATTCAGAATTAAAGGGGATCAGTATATTTAATTATTGCTAAAAGTAAAACTTAGATATGCCATCACTAGAACAGAGTTAGTGTCTGTAGCCTGACTGTCTTGATCTAGGTGATCCATATTCGGGAGCAGTAGGGGACTTGAATGCATTTGGTGGTTTGTGGGGAGCATTGTGAACTAATGGAAGCAACACTGTACTCTGCCTCTGTAGTTCTGGGTTCTCCCAGCTGTCACTGGCTGTCCTGTGTGATCACTGTATCTTGATCTCTAACACAGGTATTAATACCATTTTGTATCTCTATTATGAAGTGTTTCAAAAATTTATTGCTGAAGACACTATTTAAAAAGTAGGATTTATGTGTAATATGCAAGTGTAATAACTCAGCCTGATGGTTTTGCACTTGAAATTGTTTCCATTAATAAGGTTACAAACAGAAAACGTTTTCCTTCTCACTAGAATATTGGAACAGTATTGGGAAATTCATAAATATAGGACATAACCCAGAATATATTCATAAGATTTTACGTGCCGCTGTCTTCTGTAGAGCTACATATATAAATTACTTGATTATTCAGAATTCTAATTAGTTAAAATCATAGACTTTGATACCATTAGTCAAAAGTGTGATTCTTCTCTGTTTTTCTTTTCCAAACAGATGAAGCGTGCCAGCCAGAATAGCGAAGGAACTGTTGGTTTGTTGACTTACCCTGTGCTTCAAGCAGCAGATATTTTGCTGTACAAGTAAGAGGCAGAATGTGAGCCCATGGGCAATGTCTTTGCAGCTGCATTGGAATGAACGCTTGTCAGGTCAACATGCTGACTTATTGAGCAGGGGAGCTGTGTGTGATTAGATCACACCAGTTCCAGAAGACTGGAAATGGATGACAGACTCTCAAGTGGCTGGTTGAAATCTAGCTGGATTAAAAAGCTACTGATGGGGCTGTAAAGAGCATAAGCTGGTGACATGAGAATAATTCTTAGGGAATTATAACAGACTGATATTTAATTATACATATTGCACATTCACACAGATTTGTTTTTTTTTAAAGTAGTTATGCTTTATTTTATGCAGTGTATTGTAGAGATACTTAAACTGCATGTTGTATACCAATATTAGTGGGGGATTCTGTGTAGGCCATACATCAGTTCATACTGATGAAAAAGAGTGAGTTACTGACTGCAGCTTGTAGTACCTGGGCTGGTTTAGTTTTCTGAACTGTGTTCTGTGCTGTACTGCATGCTGCACTGGAAATAGCCCCTAGTGAAGGACTGGGAACTCAGCATGCCTAGGCATGTAAGCTGGCAGATAGAATTTGTAGTGCATTGTCATGACTGGTTGTATTTCATAATATGATTTAAACTGTCTCAGTAAGTAAATGTTAAAGACAGTGCACCATGTATGAAATATTTTTGTGTTCAGAACTTAAGTACTTTGTGGCATTGTTCTGAAGGAAATTGTAAGTATTGGTTGGGACAGAGAAGTAACACAGGACTGAGGACAAGGATGTCAGATCAGACTAACCAAGATTAACCAGTTGTGAATTCAGAAAAATGTATCTAGAGAAATTACATGTTAATTGATCATAGTAGGGAAAACACTGTTAGGTGAAAGGACTGTTAGAAGACCAAGAGATGGTATTTCTAATTTACCTAAATTTTAACTGAAAATAGCAGGAAGCAAGCAAAAGTCAAAATTTTTTTGACTATTATAATGATTTTATTTGAAGTGAGTCCCATCTGATTGTCAAATATTTGAGTGATTTGAGTGTCAAGTGTTTAAGGGTGAAATTTAGACACATTTATCAGAAATCATGTTGTTTTGATTGAGCTCAAACGTGTCTGTCTCTTCTACCTCTAATAAGATCAGGTGTTTCATCTTTCTTTAGTAAAGCCAGTGGTTTGTTGGCTACGATCTGTATTAACAGCAGGCTGTCCACACAGACCACAAAACAAGGAGGTGAAAGAGAAACAATATGTCTTTGAAGAAATTTGACTTAATATCTTTAATAAGAAATGTTTTAATGTAAGCGAAATAATATGAGGAACGAGAATTGGTGAGAAACAGAAACACAGGAAGAGAACAGCAGTTATGAAGTAAAATTTAAGAGCTGGAAGAGGGGGAGAAACAGTACTAGCTCAGATGAACCAAAGATCAAAGAGACAGGAAAATGGACAGAAGGTAAATACATGACAGAAAGGAATAAAAATAGCACCAGAATAGAAATATTAACAAAAAAAAAGCAAGGAAAAATGCAAGGTATCATGCAGAGACTTTTATAGAGATAATATGTTTTCTTTTTAGTGGCAAACTTGGTGAATATGGAACCATTTTGGCATATGGAAACATTTCTTTTGACCTGCTTAAAGGATATTGATTATGGTAACTGATTTTCTCTCAGTTATAGGGCACTGTAATTTCCTATAGACTACTGTAACTGCTTTTAGGTTGCCTTGCTGGCTGGTTTGGAATAAAGGTGGACAAATTGATTTCTGGATGTCAGCCCAGTAATTCAGAATCAGAGGGAAAGAGTACCGTGTTGATCTGAAATTTTCTGGGAACTTTAAAGATGCATAGTGAACTTCCTTGCTTTGGAACATGTCCAGTATTCATAGCTGAATACCCCATAAGCCTTAGGAAAAAAAATCTACTGGGGGATGGGAGAGTAATCAAAAGCTGGCAAGATTTCAAGTCTGCCTCATCTGAAAGAATCATACATTTTTAGCAAGTATGATTAACTGTGGGAAAGAATCACCAGGGGAAGTAATGGATTCTTCACCTCCTCATGTCCTCTGATGCAGATTGTTTCCCTCCAGAAGCGCATTCAAGCCATTGAGTTCAATACAGAAGATCAAATTATCCTTTGAATCTAGCAGTTCTAATCTTCTAATAACACTTGTGACAATAGAGGCACTGGACCACATGATTTATACAATTGTGGTGAGGAAGAAACACTCTTCTTTCCTTCCCTCGATACCTTCTCAGTACTAGCTCCACAACAACAGTTATGTTTACCTGAGGCTGGACATGACAAGGTGCTTGCACTTTATGCCTTGCAGATCTTTCTTACTTTGTTTGCACAAACAAGAGCACTATAACATGTGCTCTTTGATCTCTAAAGAGGCAGCAGGAGATACCACAGAAGCCTTTCTTTGAGCTGAGTTTGATGAGTTGCTTGTACAGGTATCTTTGCCATATATGTCTTCACAAAGGGCTATTTTTGCCCTTGCTTATGTGCTTCAATTCAGCATAAAAAGCAGAGTCATCCTTGAATATGTTCAGTTTAGGATCTTGCTCCCACAGCACCTATACCTAGCTGGGAATGAGTGTTTGGCTCAGTCTGGTCCTCAGTCATGGCAGAAGCTGTGACAGTCTTGAGAAACATTTCGGCAGAACCAGAGAGCTTTGCTGAGTTTCCTGTATCTGTCTTTTATTAAAAGGTCAACACGTGTTCCTGTTGGAGAAGATCAAGTCCTGCACCTGGAGCTAGCCCAAGATATAGCACAACATTTCAACAAGAAATATGGAGAATTCTTTCCTGTGCCCAAAGCCATTTTAAGTGAGCTGGTCTTGGTTATTTTTTTTCCCATAACTGCACTTCTAAGTTGAAGATAGATTTAAATATTGTGGAAATAGTTTCAGGGACCAAGAAGAGGGGGCAAACTGATATAAAGGGAGTGGAAAATTAAAAACTGGCAACAAGAGACTAGAGGCTGTGAAAATGAACTCCAAGATAGATATAAGGCTTTAGAAATCTATGGTTGAGGAGTGTATGTGACGTCTGGTATTCTAGTCCAGGGGGCCAGATGCACTCTACTGCTGTCAGTCAGCCTTGCTCTTCAAGTACTGGACTTTCAAGAGTAGGGTCTCTATTCCATGTTGCTCATTCAGGAGATACATAACAAGGCAAGAGACCTCTAGCAAGCAGAATTCTTCAGTGTCTGAGTGGGAGCTGTTTACTTTAAGCATGCTGAACAGCCTGTTGGTTTGTATGCACAGCGCTCCAATTTTTTTTAAGGGTGTTTAATATACGCTTGAATATTTCAATATGTGTCTGCCACAGAGCTTAAGACTTTACGGTTTTTGATCTTACACTCAGGAAGACTTATAAGGAAAATCTTCTCAGCCATTTTTGAGCTATAAGGTCATAGGCCGGGGGGGTGAGGAGGAGTCAGATGGCGCAAATGGCATGTTTGTTAAGAAACGTGAAGAATTGGGCGAGGATGAAGCGTTGCATCTTTGTTGTAAGTAATGTAGAGGAATGCACAGCAGAGACCTTCGCCCCCAAAAGGGCAAGGAGCTCTCAAAAGACAGGCAGTAATAAACCTTTCTCAATTTTCAAGCCTCAGTGACAAAAATGGTGTTAGACTTAGAGTGGAGTTTTGAGAATATTAGGGATTGCAAACTCTGCAGTTTCTAATTGAGTACTAAGCATTATAAAGAGGAGCTGAGTGTAGCCTGTGATGCAGATGAGACTGTTTACCATTAAATAAAAAGCTCATTTAAAAAAAATAAAAAAGAAAGGAAAAAAAAATTAATTTTGCTCCCAAAAAGCATTCCTTCTTAAGTTCACAAATATTTGCAAACCAACAAAATATCCTAGATGAATGGTGAAGATAGACTCATTCTCATTCACATTCATCTCATATTCAGACTCATTAGCTGTAGACAATTGAATTACCTGCACTCTTTCAAATTTGCTGAAAAGGGACAGAAAGGGATTTCAGAACAAAGCACTTTCTGGGGTAATCTGAACTGTAAGCTGGAAGAACCCTTATCCTTCCACTGAGTGCATAGGCCATCTATGAGCAGTATGCAGGTAATTTAGTTGGCTTTATTAGATGTATAAAAACAATTGGTGTGAGTACTCTGTAGATAAGTGATACTTTATGTACTCCATGAATGATATTTCTTGGTGAAAAACTGTTAAGGTACATCACAATATTCTCCTAATGCTACTAATCTATTACATGCACATGCATTTATCTTAGCACTTTGTACAATACCCACACCTTTCTTATCTGAACAGTGCTTTACATCTAACAGAGCTGGTCAGTGTTGACTTAGAGAGTTTTAATAACTGCTTTTACTGAGATTTAGGAGAATTGCCAAGAGATTTTGAGTGGAAGAGTTTCCTGAAATAAGGAGATTAACTGCTTATGGGATTCTTAATTTTTTTTTACCAGTGGAGTTAACCTGTTTCTCTACTGTTCAGAACCTTTCAGTAATATGAAGTTATAGAAGGGAGGAGAAATTTGGGGGGTGGAAATCAGCATGTAAGCCACATAAAATACTAGGAGCAGCCCCAGCAGAAGTTCCTGCTTAGTGAGGATGGGAGAGATGGAACAGGCTTCATTCAGTTTATGACAGGAGAAAGGTGGCTTCTTAGAAGGACAGGAAGGGTGCAAGGACTAAACAGAGCATACATGATTATGCTCACAATTCATTTTTGAGCAAGGATAAACAGCTTCATCATATAGCTGCACATTGTTCTTAGCCATTGTCATGAGAAACCATTGTCTAAGCTCATAACTCTTTTTCTTTTTTGAAGGTACAACAAAGAAAATAAAATCCCTCAGAGATCCATCAGTGAAGATGTCCAAGTCAGACCCACAGAAGTTGGCTACTATTAACATAGCAGACAGCCCTGATGAAATTGTGCTGAAATTTCGCAAAGCTGTGACTGACTTTACCTCGGAGGTGACCTATGACCCCGCCACTCGCCCCGGTGTCTCCAATCTGGTGTCCATTCACGCTGCAGTAACAGGGCTTAGCATCAAAGAAGTGGTGCACCAAGCCACAGGTCTCGACACTGCTCACTACAAAATGGTGGTAGCTGAGTCAGTTATCCAAAAATTTGCACCTATCAGGAATGAAATCAAGAAACTCCAGGAAGACAAGTCCCATCTGATAAAGGTTTTAGAGGATGGAGCAGAGAAAGCCAAAGAACTGGCTGTTCCTGTCTATCAAGAAATAAGGAGACTGGTGGGATTTCAATAGAAGCTGCTGAGAAGTTGCAAGGACTTTTGTATCATGGAACAGAGATTTGTTATTTGTAATAAAATCATTTATTAATTATTAATCATTTTGGTTTGAAACAAAAACTTTTTTTTCCTGGAAGATCCAAGGAGAACGTTGAATATGGTTGCATTAAAACATGCATGAAGCCAGGTATTTCCAGTGGGACCAGCATTAAGCTTATCTGGATAGTCAGAGGGAGGACAGAAGCAGTCACAATTCACAAAGAAATTGTGCAAAAGCAGATTATAAGCTTGCCTATGTGGGTTTTTGGATTTTTTCACTGCAAGAAGATGAAGTGTAGGCAAGGTGATCAGAATCTAGCAGAAAGATTTGTAATCCTCTAAAAAATGTACTTATCTGTGTATGTGATCTTGTTACACTTGGACAGTTTATCCTCTTGGGGATTATTCAGCTTTGATATGGTGATTCAACATGCTTTTGGATAACCAGAATAAAAGCAGATATTTAAAAATAAATGCTCAGGATGATGAAGAGAGAACTTACTGCTTCTCCCTATAGTGTCTTCAAATTCAGTGTAATTTTTTTTTCTATCTATGTAGTTTGTGTGAAGTGAATTCCACTTCTGCCATTAGTGCCTTCCTGCTGGTCAGGGCTAAGGTACTTCAGTGAGAAATGACATGTGCTTCAGCTGCTCCTGTTTCACCTGCTGTTCTGTTTAGCAGGGAGCTCCAGGATTTTCAGTTCAGCAGCAAGTCTAGGATTGCTTTAAGGAAGGTGTAGAAGAGAAGATGTAATCCTGAATCAAAGGAATCTTGGATTGAGAATCAGAGAACTTTCTGTAAAGTTTACAAAATTGCTTCTTTAAAAAATTGTGCCAAGGTCAGAGCCAGAATAGTTAAATAGATCTTTATGGACTCTTCACTACTGAGTCTTGAGAAAGTGTAGTGATGGGAGAACAATGTTAGCCTGCCCTGATCTGAGGCCTCAAAAGTTCCACAGACTTGGGCCCACGGATTGTGGCACTTGTTGGGGAATGTGTGGCACAGGGAAATTGCCAAAAGGAGACACCATGTTCTGAAGAGGGGTAGTAGTACATGTTAAAAGGTAATGAAAGTCCTGTGCCAGCATATTTAACTATGGCATTACACTTTATGGTGCTGTGTTTGAAATTGCTGTACTGTAATGTAAATTGAGTTAATCCTGTACTCTGGGAGCTCATAACCACTCTATGCCTGTGGCATTTGTCATGAAGGATTGCAGTCTTACATGACTGAGTTAGTGAAACTCAGGTGGTTGTTTCTACATAGTGCAGTTGGTTGATTAGTTGTTCTGGGTTTTTTTCTAAAAAGCAGTATTTAGTTAATTATAATGAGTTTATTTAGAAAGAAATATTTAATTTTCCAAAACATAAAGTTGAGAACTGAGTATATCCAAATCTGTGCTGAGACCTGTATTTATTTGTTAGGGATCTGAAGAAGAGAACTGCCATGCAAGAACTTGATGATGACAGATTTTCTAAAATTAGTCAAGACTAGAGAGGCAGAGTGGATGGAGACAGAGTGATTGGAACCAAAATCAGTATAGACAAGCCTAAGGTTTTGGCCTCGGGAAATAATATTGAAAAATTGTCCCTGGTTTCAACTAAACTGTAGTGGATAAGGAAAGGACATGTTTTAACTGTACATATTTATGTAGTTCTACAGAACTTTTGTCAGTGTTTAACAGCTGCATTAGGGCACTAAGATGAAAAATTAAAGCACACAATTACTGCTACTTCCTGACTTGGCATAAAATGTTTACTGTGGCACTTTTTAACATAGATTGATTTCAGCAAAGGTCCCGCAGTATGTACCTTGAGAGAAGTTAACACTGTCCTCATGAAGACTCTGAAAATCTTTAATACTAATGTATCTAGTGTCTACCTGTACCTCTTTTTCACTAGCAAAGATAGAAGCATATATTCAAAAGGCAAATCAGAGTTTCAAGGTCTCTTTACACTTCTGATACTCAAATCATCTAATATATAGAGTTGCCATTCAACACATCTTCTCTGCAGTGGAAGGAAAATAGGAGCATTCATGGGAGGGGTTGACTTGACCAGGTAATTTTGGTTTATTACTTAAACTGTTCTGAGCAATCTTCCAAAACTGTTAGATTCTTTTTCAGAAAATCATGTAAGTAAAGCAGGAAAAAAAACGCTTCAAAAGAGCCTTTTCTTTGGGGTAGGGGTTTAAGGCATTACATATTTTGTTGTGTTTCAATCAAATTCACTAATTTGCATCTTTTTAATTCAATAATACATTGGGGTTCTTCCCTTTCCCCTGTCAATCAAACAAGTCTTATTCGCCTGACCTATTTCCTTCATTTAAGGGAATATATATGTTTTTTTATCTTCAGAAAAGTTAAACATGTGTAAAATTAATATATTAACCTACTGATTGTCGAGTTAGCTTTTTATTTTAGTTTCTCCTGTGGAGGAATTCTCAAAACAACATGTTTGCTCAGTGAAATAATCCAGATTCCATTAGCAACCATGATCTTTAGAATCCCTTGAGAGGAAACAATAAACGTAGATGTTTGCAGGTATCTGTTGCCTATTTCAGTTTTCTTAGAGCATGTTTTTTCTGTAAAGTTAACCATCTTGGCATTCAGGTGGATTAGCTGAAGCAATGAGTTAATTCCGAGCTGCTCCCTCCTCTTCTGCCTCCCTGTTTCTTCTTGGGAATGTTTTATAAGCACCCATTCTACACAGAACAGCTAGAACAATTCAACAATTCAACAGTTAGAACAGCTGATAAGAGAACAATTATTGGAGAAGACTTGATGCTTTATGTTTCATAATTATTTGTTGCACACTAACTCTAGTGCTGGGGACTTAATGTTTGTTTGCAACAAAGTAGGTGCACTCCTGAAACGCATTTTCATGTTTGTTTTTATTCATCACATTCTCTAAGACTTCTCTGGGATGACAGCTGAAGTGCAGTTGGTGGAAAGTCTCTGCAGAAGCACACTCATCCCAGCTGCAGTGTGGAATGTACATACCCTGTGGTATTTTGGAAGTCACTGTAAGGTGTTCTTCCAGGACAAGGTGGGACAAAGCTCTTTCCTAATTGAAGTAAAAAGAGCCAAAAGGTGGAGAGATATCCTTACCCCTTGCTGTGTTGCTCACTGAAGAAGAGGAAGCAGAAATAATGATCCTTTATTTAGAATGCATTGGTAATTTGTGCCTTAGACTCAAAATCTCTTTTGCCATTCCTGTATGTTAGTGCACCTAGCCTACTGCAGATCCAAATCACTACGTATGTATCAGACATAGCATCTCCTGGTAAAACTCACTCACCTCTAGAGATAAACCATCAACTCCACAGCGAATTACTTGCAAATGTATAACAAAAACATTTTTACACTTGAGACATTTATTTTTCCAGCTAGTTGTTCCTAAGAAGTCATGATATCACATAGTGAGTCTCAGCTCTGTGCTTTCAATTTAGAGCACAGAATTTACTGAGAATTTTAGATTCAGGGACAATGTTTTCTGTAGCAAAGATTACAAATGATGGTTGGCCCCATAAATTAACTCTGGGACTGCTCCAGAATGCATCCCTGCCTCAAATAGCGGGAGTGAATGGATATTGTACATTATACTGGAACTTAATTGTAACTCTTTAAAGATGTGGTTGAAGTATACTTAGTTTTCAAACACCATGACCTGGCTTCTCAGATTCCCCAGAAGGCTTTCTGCATATTTCTGATTCAATGTGTGTTTATCTACAATCAATTCAAGCAAAGTTCCTTTGCAGGATTATGGCTGCATCCATTAAAGGCTGAGGAATTCATAAAAGTGAGCTGAAAGTCTAAGGAAGGAGAGTGAAATGGGATCCTTGGGGACTGACCTGCATCTAAATGTTTTGGGAACCATAGGTTATCAAAGCAAATGTTTTCTTATCTTTGGTTAGGGCCATCATGATCCTGACAGTGTAGCAGTAAATACTGATGATGAAAGTGTTTTCTTTCAGTGCTCCAGCTTGGTTAGATTTATGTTCAGTACAACAGATGGATCTTTCACCATTTTGGTCTGTGCATTTAAGCTCTTGGATGCTGCCTACCTGTTTTTTTATGGCTGATGGTCTGCTGCACAGAGAGAAATAGACTAGCAAGCTGGTGTAGGAAGTCTAGTGGAAAAGGGGTTTTGTTCAGGAAATATATTACCTGTTCTTGACAGGAAAACAAAACCCCTCTTTCTGCTGTGTTGGGCAGTCTAATTACCTTTAAATTATTTGATCTGTTCATTCTTTCTAGGTAAAATTGACAGTAGCTGCAAGAAGAATGTCTATGTATTGTGTAGTCAAAAGCCTTGGAAGGACCCAGACATCTCGAATCTTTTCTAAAGTCTCTTACGTAGTGGGACTTTACTGTGAGCGTCAGCCGGTTTGGGGAAAAATGCTGCAGCAATACTGTAGTCATATGTGACATTAATTTATCTGCTTAAAGCTTTTGTGTTTTGGTTGGGGTTTTTTAGCTCACTAGGCTGTGGAAGAAGACTTGTTAAATATTGAATTCCCAGCTAAGCTTTTTATTGTATAGTCCTGTCCAGATTATAGCTGAAATAATGGAAAATTCTCTTCATTATCAAAAGATTCTGCTCTGATTCTCACTGTCTTCTGTTAGTCTGCTGGTTGTGCTAATAGTCATATTGTGGAAGTATTTATTTTACCTGCAACAGTCCCATATTATTATGGAAATGGAAGATTCAGTGATCACTTGTAGGCAGGAGCCTTGTTTTCACAATTATTTTGTATAAAACCAAATGCCAACTTCCTGCACAGGTAAACAGTTTAACACCTGGGAAGAAGTTCTGCCACTGTTGTAAATTGCTGTCACAGAACACCGTGACTGAAGATGAGATTATCCACTACAGGAGTGGTCTCGTGCTGCCTGTGGACATAAAGTTAAGCACTGAGCTTAACGTCTGTTGTGCTGTCATGCTCTCAGCATTCCAACATGGCTGTGAGACAGGAACAGAGCAAATCTGTGCCACACCAGAAGGCTAGATCAGTTCCAGATGTGCTACATTTGCTGTATCTGCCAGATGAAATGTCAAGACAAGAGTTGCAGAACAAAAATCCTTAAAAGTTATTAAATGTTTGGAAGTACAGCAAGCTTGTAAAGCTTGGCTTATAGGGCCTGTGATAGTGTGTTCTTAGCCTCACTCATATACAGCTGACAGGAGCAGTCACACAGCTGAGTATGATGGTGGCATAAGGTAAGCCATCTGCTTCTCAGTGCAATAATCTAAAGACAGAATGAGTCTAATTTGAGGGGTTACTGGATTAACCATCACAGGTGGGAAATAACAGTTTATGGCAGAGCAAGGTAGTACCACAGCTCTCTTGTATCCTAAACCATTCTGAAAACAGGTGCTCACAGTTCAGGTGGGGACATGCTGCATGAACAGTGTCACTTGTCCCTCTTGCTGTTGTATCTGTGACTC